CACACACACACACACACACACACACACACAGACACACAGGTACGTACACAGACAGAGAGTTGGGATACAAATTACACTCACCTTCCACTTATCGGTCGACATCGGGTCACAGTGGTGCCCGGCACTTGGTCCGGGGTCAAAGGTCGCCACTTACGGGCGCGGAAAGCCTGTAGGCTCGAGCTGAGGTGCTCATGGTAGGGCTGGCTGTCTGGGTCACGTGGCACGGGTACCCCGTCAGGCAATAGGCTGGTTGTGCTGGTGGATAGTGGGGTCGCTGCATTGAGATGGTACAGCTTCTGTGGACGAGAACCAAAAGTATATTAAGATGCAGAAGTTTGTTTTAATAAACGTTTTACGGCGCTTAGAGCTCAACTAGGTCACATAAGTGCCGAAGATTAGAAGTGTTACAAGAAAGTAGCAAACATAAAAAGAAGGAGGATAAAGACGACTGTCGTTCGATAGGAGAGAAGGAGCAAACCACACCAGAGCACCTGGCAACCACCCATGAGATACAGATGGTGGTGTAAAAAACACCCACACCTTAAAAAATAAAACAAAAGAATGCGATTATAATAATGCTGGATGCTGTTTTGTAATCTTGGTATTTGAGTAAAGAGAAGCATTTCGACATAATTAATGACAGGCATGGGGAGGGTCGGTGGAAATTGAGAAAGAAAGACGTGGTCATTGTATTATATTTAATGCTATTCTTGTCATATTGAACGTTTATCTCCCTTAGGACCAAACCAAAAGGATGGGAAATCTTTTAAAAATCTCCGAAAACAAAACATGTTCAGAATGCCGCGTTGGTAATTCGAATCAAGACCAACCTCTCCCTAGCTTTGTGTGATGGCAACTGAGCTTAAGGTGTCCCTAAGAAAGACATATTATTATGAATAAACAGATTGCAAGAAAAGAATTACTTTCAGGGCACCCTTCAACCATATGCTGTATTATTTCGTTCCTATGTATCATAAAAATGCAAATTTTATAATAAAGGTAGTTCATCAAAAAAGGTAAGGTACAAATTATGATAATGTTTGTGTGACCATGTTTTCCAAAAACTTTTGTGTTAGTGTTTTTGAAGAGAACAAAATAACACAAAATAATTTCTAACCACATATCATAGAATGTGGGCGTGCTTATTTAGGTTATATAGGCTATATATAGCTCACATCCCCCCCCCCTACACACACAACCCCCCCCCCCCCCACACACACACACCAAACATTATTAGGGCTACTTGAAGCCTAAAAATAACAATCGTGAACTGTATTTAGCACCTCGACGTTTTACTGTTGTATATTAATTTACAGGGAAACACGCATATGCATTGTAGACATATCAAGGCTATATATAGCCTGTAGACATATCAATGCATATCATAAATCATAAATATGACAGACGAAATAACAAAATACTTGTTTTGCCTTGCAGACATAATAGTGTGTTATTCCACATTTATTACAGCGGATTTCCTCTGAGATATCTACCTCATGACAACACCTTACGTTTCAAGTTCTGCGTCAAATAGTAAATTCAATTTTCCTTTTTCACCTACTTTCATCCCCATATTCTAGTGTGTGTATATTATATTATACTATAAGTGATAATCAATTATACTTGATAACAATGTAACTGTATAATCAGTGGGTATGAGAACAACGTGTGTTTTCAAGCACATTTCTAACACGTCCCTGACTCTCGTGACTGATAAAGCTGTGGATAATTTAATTATTGCTCATGGTTCATTTAAAAATGTTAGAATGATACATTCCTAACGTTAGTTTCTCTAAAGATGTGTGATTTCTATGTCTGTTTCTGTCTGTCTACCTGTCCGTCTGCCTGTCTCACTTTCTCTATCTCTCTCTTACCCTCTCTCTCTCTCTCTTTCTCGCTCTCTCTCTCTCTCTCTTTCTTTCTCTCTCTCTCTCTCTCTCTCTCTCGGTGTGTGTCTCTGCCAGTCTCTACTTCACAAACATATATTATACAGACACGTAAACATGCAGCACAGCAGCGTAAATCTGCATATACATTCACACACAAACACGCAAACACAAACAAACACACACGCACACACACAAATGAAATGCACACAGGCACACTCACTCTCTCTCTCTCTGTATCTCCCTCTCTCTCTCTCTCTCTCTCTCTCTCTCTCTTTCTCTCTCTCTCTCTTTCACACACATACACGCTCACACACACACACAAACACACATACACACACACACGCACGCACACGCAAACACAATAATTATAAAGATTGACATTAACTCACACATACTAAAAGCTTACAAACAATAAAAAAAGATAACATATTATATAAAA